GTGAAATAAAAAATGAGAAATATTTGTTTCTTATTATATAATTAAGATAAAAAATTTATTTTAAAAAAATTAATTTTAAAATATATAAAATTTGACTTAAAAGAAACTCTACACTGTAAATTTTTTTTTTTTTTAAGATGGACTAGACCTTTCACCGCTAGACAACGATATCACATATCGTGTGGGGTTCGAACGCACGCGCACTTATGTGGAGAAGATCTTAACTCTTCCCCCTCAACCTCTCGGGCAAACTAGCAGACAAATTCACTTAGATTTGACAGTAAAATGAAATTTATTTTATAAATTTTTTATAAAATTAGAATAGAGATTTAAAATTTTAATTTTACTTTTTAATTAAAAATTTTAAATAAATAAATATAAATTCAACTAATCTTTTTTATTTATTGTTATAGCTTCAATTATTTGATTTTCATTCATTGTACCCTGTACTGTCCTGCAATAATTGGGGAAGGGCCGTGGCAGATAGATCATAGATAATCTTTCACGAATTGACAGCAAAAATTTAAGTCTGAACCAAAGGCAGAACAAGGATTGCGTTTGATTCTCCAAAAATTACATCTGTCTTTGTGAGCCATCTCATACAAGGAAACAAACAAAGTCTGGAAGCATTTGGCACTTTGCATGCTTCTGTTTCTTCACAAAGGGAGAATTACTTTAGTGAACACTGTTTAGGGTTTGTTTGGTTGCCAGTTTTTCCAGCTTTCTTCTCTAGGAAAAGTTGCAGCACGTGATTCGCTGTTGCCCCTTGGATTCTTTCTTCTGGGTGCTAATTAGTTAACAAATGCTCTCATGAGACACATATTCCACATGAAAACACAATCGCGTAGAAGGAATCTACAATTTTTGGTTTCCTCTTAAAATTAAATTTTATAGAAAAATAAAATCTAAATCACTTACCAAATTGCAAACATAACACCAAACAAAAAAAAAAATTACTTTTCAAGTAATATTTCGAGACAACTTTCCGAGATAACGTTCTAAACATTTCTTCGACCAAACGGACCCAATAACCATAAATATAGTGTTTTTCTGGGATTCAATTGTATGCAATTCAAGCTATAAAATATTTAAATACCTTTAATAAATGGTATTTTGATATTTTTAAGGTTACGTTCTCTAACCATAAAATGTAGCCTAACATTTTTATTTCAAAAAAATAAATTATATAGTCCGGACTGCATAACTAAACCATTGAATGATATAAGAGGTTATTTTTTATTTAATAATTTTTATTTTACAATTAAATACACTCTAGATAATAAAATGTTAAATTCTTTTATTTTAGTGGGCTGGGCGATCGACTTCTCTTCTATAAATCCAACCGGGGACAAACAGGGCCTGAGAGCCCTAAACTTTAGTGATGCGGATCGGTATAGGCCGCATAACCCGACCCGTACTGTCTCACCTTCCTTCCTCCTCTCCCCTCCTAAAACCCTAGTTACTTGGCGGTTTCTACAAACAAATTGAAGACGCAAAATTCGTTTCTTTGGACAATAGTTTCAATCTCACATCATCTCAATGGCGAAAAAGAACAAACAGAAACTATCTCAGGATCCGAAACCTCTACAAGAACGGGAAGAAGAACACCAGAAGAAGGATCCGAAACCTGAACAAGAAGAACAAGTGAAGAAGGAAGAAGACGATGAAGGAGAAGAAGAAGATAAGAGCTTCCATGACATAGGACTCGACCCTCGTCTAATTCGCGCACTCTTTAAGAAAGGCGTCGATAAACCATTCCCAATCCAACGCGTTGCCATTCCCCTCATATTGGTAAGGCAGAATTTCTGGCATAAGTTTGATTTTTGTTGGATGAGCAGCTACTGAATTGCATTTGTTATTAGCAAGGTAAAGATGTGGTCGCTCAAGCTAGGACCGGTACCGGAAAGACCTTCGCGTACCTTCTGCCTTTGCTTCAGAAGCTGTTCCCATCCAAAACCAGGCTGGCTCCAGCGGCTTTCGTGCTCGTCCCCACCCGTGAATTGTGTCAACAGGCATGCTGTTGTTACTTATTTTGATTAGCGTGCCGTATGTTTGTGTATGGTTCTTAGACGTTTGTGTTTCTGATCTGTTTCAGGTTTATAAAGAGGCTGTTTCATTCATTGAGCTATGTAGAGTTCAGTTGAAAGTAGTGCAGTTGACGAGTGGCATGCCTACTTCTGATTTGGTTCGTTTGATAATTGATATTTGGATTTTGTTTTGGCTATATACACTTGTGGTAGGGAAGCTGAGCCATTTGCTAATTTTCTTTAGTTGTATATTGATACTGTTTGCAGAAAGCTGCATTGGCAGGACCTCCTGACATTCTGGTTACGACGCCCAAGTGCGTGAGGGATTGTTTATCTGCTGGATTGCTTCAGCCATCTTCCATTAATGACTCACTTGAAATTCTTGTCCTTGACGAGGTAACAATTCATTTCTCAGTTTTGTGTTTTTATTTTTATTTCTAAACTTTTGATTATGTTGTTGATAAATTACATTTAAATAGAAAATACCCAAAAGTAGCTTTTAGTATACAACTTACAGAATAAAATAAGTAGTCATTCATCTCTGATTATCTTTACCTCTAAAATTTATTGTGTTGTTTCTTGAGAGATGAATTGAGTAATTGAAGTAATCTACCTATTGACATACTCATGAATACTTCTTGCTGCCTGCAATATGGTTACAGAGGTATTCTCTCTTGGAGAATACTAATGCATTTTGGTTTCCAGGCAGATCTCTTACTTCAATTTGGCTTTGGAGATGATCTTAAAGAACTTACAGCTGTTCTTCCCAAACGCTGTCAATGCCTTCTTATGTCAGCTACCTCAGGGTAGGTTTTATTTCTAAGCTTTGCATTTTAGATACTTGTTTCCAATATTTGGAGTGAATTGTTGTTGCTGTTGATT